AACGATTTTGCCAATTAACAGATCAACAAAAAAAAAAGAAACAATAAAATCAAACGAATCGAAAGATTAGAGTAAGATTAAATTGTGGAATAATTCCTAAAATGAATATTTTCTTTCAACTACCGCGATAAGATGTACACACAACATGAATACTAAATATAAAGTAAATACACCAAATAACATAAAAATGTACCACAAGCATCAATGAAATAAACACACTTTTAAATGTTCAGTATTAATTTTCGGCAAAAAAATGTTAATAATGTTATTGCATTCTTTAAAAAAACATTCTCTTCTGTAAGGTATTCCTACCCTATATCATATTTTTACATCCTCGTCAACGAAGTGTCTATTGTGACAGCAACCAACATAGGTGCTCATGTCCGATGTACCCAGGAAGAGAAGTCACGCTTCGGGAGAGATCGCTTCGAGAGCGATCGCATCAACACGTTTCTTTAACGAGGATAATTTCGGGGTGGTGATGCGACATTACGATCTACTGCGTTTGCGTTTCGCTCTGATTCTTCTCGCGTGCAATTTCGTGCGAGCATACACACGCGCATATACGCACACACGCGCGAACACGAAGGTGAATTAAGGTGAATTTTTGCGCCTCTCTCCGTGAGAAGAAACGCTCGCACGGTTAAGACACTGATATATCTGTCGAGGGCGCCGCCGATCCCTGTGCGTTGGATACGAGATCCACCTACTGTGTACGAGTATATATTCGAGTGCGTACACGGATGGGGCACGCATGGATGAGTGGGAACCCATTCCATCCCAACGCGTAAGGACGATCTTGATCGTGGATGTCGGTGACGTGAGATCGTATGAGAAGGAAGAACCGAGAACACCCGCGAACGGCCTCGATTCGCGTAAATCGCTTCCCTTGATCCCGCGGGAAGAATTCTCTTTGAATAAGGAACTCGATGTGGTATCCTCGTATTATAGATCCTATTACATATAAGTCCTATTGTTTCCTGTGTAATTACCAGTCGCTATTACATGTATTCGTGCAAAGTTCGCAGGATGTTACAGGATCAAATTTTTTGCATATCTGATCGCTTATTTTCTTGTTTAATTAACACCTAAAACACTAAATAAAATAGAAAGCTGATTATTAAATTAATTAGAACTTATTTAGCTACTTTCGATTTAAAGTTTGAAATGTTTAACAATATAAAGTACAAAGAACGTCAAGAAATCTTTGCAGATTCGATTATTGAATAAATTTTAATATTCAACGTTTTAAAAATCCATATCTTTAAGAAACCTTAAGATTGAACACTAAAATTTGTTAAATCTGCAAAATTTTCTTTCACTTCTTTCTGTTCAATTCAAGCATTTGAATCTTCAAATCAAGAGTAGCGAAATAAATAGCTAATTTAGTCACCTTTCTAATTTATTTTTAATTATTTGTAATATCTCAAATGCAAATAAAATTATCGATTAAAATTTTAACAATCACAATATATAAAAAAGAAAGGAAAATAAAACGCACGATCGCGTCGCATTCTGTGATTCGTACGAAATTGCGCGTTTGCATAATTTTGTACAGATATCAAAAATAATATTCAAGTAACAGCAACAGCAGCAATACTCTTCGGTAAAAAGACTCTTTCTTTTTTTGCACATTGCGGTTATTAGCTAAGATATCGGCGCTATTTACAATGTGCCGAGTCTAGACCACAAACCGTTTATTACGCGTCTTTAAGTAGGATTACGAAGGAGTAGGATGCGTACCCTTTTACCAGCGTATAAAGGACCGAAATTTTCCTCGACGCGACACGACGTTTCGACGCCGGCACGTAAAGACACCGATAAAAACTTTAACAGACATAACACGTGTTAAGGCCGAAACACACCGATCGTAGCGATCATTATATTCCAAAACTAACGATAAACCTTTTCGCGCATCGTACTTATCTATACAGACATCAATTTTTAATTTAAAAAAAGTACGACATATTTATAATAATATATATAATTCTCTCTTGATACAATAATCTTTATATTTTTTTTCTCAAAATCAGTTGTTTCAAGCTCAATTATTGTACAAGAATTATTAAATCGTCAAATTTGAGAATTTCTATATAATCAATTATATATTATTATTGAAAAATTAATAAATATCTTAAACAAGGACTCTCTCTTCTTAAAATAACAAAAAATAACCTAAATGTGGGCTAATGAGAATCAGCGCGAGCGAAGGTGCGCAATAAATCTTCACAAATAAAATTTGTTACTTCATATGATGTGTTGATCTCATCTTTATTTAAAATATTGACATCTTGAACGTTTCGATTCTCTTTGAAATCTTCACAGCAAATTTCTTAACCAAATAAAACTTCAACGATCGTCCGATGTAGAATCACTCGCAGGTTACCAAAACTGTAGTGTTATCTACACGATCGCCAAATCTCATCATGAAACCTTGGATAATATATTAATATTCACACTAAACTCAAATAACATTTTATAATACAATCGATGTAGCTTCGTTCAAACTTCGTCCACTCTATCTGGAGTGACGAGTATGTCTAATCTATTATTATTGAGTAATATCACATAATAAATGATAATATTAATAAACAGTTAACACAAGATATAGATAGAAAGACCTTGATCTTGCAATTTGCAAACATCGGATTATATGGCACAAGTGCGAGTCGATCTTTAAACGGTTTCGTAACGTCGTGCTGGGCCCAGAGGTCACGACAGAGACGATGGGATGTTATTGCGCGCCGATCGTTCCGAATCAGTCGGTCGCCGTTGAATACGCGCTGAGAATATCGCCTTCTCTTACTACGTTAATTAATTAAGGATCTCGGCTTGCCCGCATGGAGTCACGCGGTTCCCATTAGAGCTTAAAAATAATTAAACTGGATTCCAACGTGTCAAGGCTGGCGCATTGGCCTCGTATCGGTCCTTTTCATGTCGTTCATTAGTCATCAAATTCATTGATCTCGCGATAAACCCGTTAACAGCCAGAATTCTTTCTTTCAGAAGCCTTATTAAAGCCTTTTTATTACATCATTTTGAATGTCGAGATATCAGATGAAAATAATAACACAGTAATGGAAAAAGAGAGCGATAATTCTTTAATTGTAATTTTAACTATTTCGAGACACGAATATCGAAAAAAAGAAATGATTTTGATCAACTTACCGGTGACCCTGATACGAAGTCTTGACGAGCTTCACCGCGAAAAGGAACTGTATGGCGCAGACCAGCAGGCAGCAGAGATTGAGAGACAGGGCGAGGGCGCATAACGCCAGGGTGACCTCGTAGACGATCACAAATTCCTCCGGGCTGATAAGGCTGTTGGAGGTGACAGTGAGCGGCGAGATCTTCAGTAGGAAGATGACCGAGAGAAGAGCTAAAAGTAGGGATACCAGACAGAGCAGTCCGAGGCTCGTTAGCATCTCCTTCACGCCAGCCGCATCACTCCGATGGAGATTTCTGGATAGGGACGAAGACCAGGAGGTATTGAGGGGTATCACCGTCGGCCCACCAGCTACTTGGCTGGCTACGACAGGAAGTGCAGATGTGGCAGGCGCGGGTGACGGTGTAGTCTGACTCGGCAACCGCGACAGCCTGGAAATATCGAAGCCGCCGTTCGCCTTTGGCCTGTCCTGATGCGAGACATTCGTTTGCGAGATCACGGTGTGGCCCAACTGACTCGCTGAGACGTTATGGTTATTATTGTTGTTACCGCCACCATTGTTATTGCCATGGACGCCGCCGACCGGACTAACGCTGTTAACCGAATGCTTAGAGGTTGACAGAGTCGATACGTTAAGCGCGTGCGAATGGTTCAGGCGTTGTGACAAATTGTTCACGCTCAGCTGAGAATGGTTCAGCGGATGCCGATGTGTCGATGAAGGAGTCGTCGCCGATTGATGCACGTTCGACACCGTCGTCGCCGTTGGTCTCGCCACGGAATCGTACACGTCGACTCCGCTATTGTTACCGCGATGCCCGGTGACACCAGTGCGTGTCCCGGTGCTTCCGGTGTAGTGATGATGATGAAGATGCTGTTGCTGCTGCGGTTGTTGCTGCGACTGCGGCTGTTGCTGCTGTGGCTGATCCTGGTGCAGCGAGCTGTTGTGCAAGTGGTGATGGTGGTGCCCGCCGTGCAACGAGCCCGAGCTCGTCTGATAATCATTGTGATGATGCCTGGAGCCCGTTGACGACGGCTGCCCCGTCAGGATGTGTTTCAGCATTACTCGACACGCTGGTGTCACGCGGAGTGAGGCTTCTTCTCTTTTCTCCTGATGCGGCGATGTAATCCTTACATGGCGATCTCGTGACGGAATGGAGTACTGAATTACACCAAATCCACCGTGTCATAACACGTAGATGTTCACTTTCATCTTCTTCATACTAAATTCATCATATTAGAGGATGTCACTTTTTTCTTCATCACGTTCAATGTCTCACGATGAAACTAATTGTCTATCAAGAGAGTTTCCAAATCACATAAACACATAACACGTTCAATTCAATTCTCTTCAGTTTAGATTCTCCGTGATGAACAATATCACTTTTCTTTTCACACTACGCGAATGTTTCGTATAAATGATTAAATTTCTAAACTTCGAAGCTACACTAAGTCTACCGTGAATTAATGTGCAATTCATCGATTTCTAATTTCATTTTTGCTTTCTTGAAACTCGTAGTAAAATAAATCGCTCTTTAAATTCGGGCCTTCTTTATTCCAAATACGTAAAGGCAGGTGCTACCTTTCGTTTGTCCCGATTGCAATTAGTTCCTTAAAGATAGAAGGAATATGCATGAACCTGAGGCTCGTTTTAACGTTACGTTCCCGGACTCAGCGAATTGCTGCACACCAGTTGCTCCACCATGGCGATGGCATCCACCAGACGGCGGCGGCGACTCTCACATATCGGGTTCACAGCGTGGAACTATACGACGACAACGGGCAATGGAGCGAGTTCGCTAAGGGCATGATCAGGTCGATCTGCGAAAGGCCTTCGTCTTTCTCTTTCTCTTTCTTTATCAACGACGACGCAATCAGTCGATCAGTGCGTTAAGGCGGCTGCAAGCTCGGTTTTCTACCACCGTCTTCTCGTTGGATACGCACGAACTCGTCAGCCGGCATGGCTTCCGAGATGGTGCCGGCGGTGCCTCTGCAACAGGTCGGAGAAAATAATTAATGGACTGACTGTTCACTCTCAGCTGTCGGTCGGAATAGTCGGACCGTAAAAAGAAGGATAGATACGGGGTATAATCTATATCCTGACCAACAACGAAGAAAACGGACGTCTCTCTTCCTTCCTCGATACCTGTGAGCTTCGTGCAAGCCGAAATATGTAAACGATTGGTCATATGCGGTGAATTCTTTTTCAAACAGGATAAAATTTAAAAAATTTTGCACAGCTTTGATAAGAAAGTAGGTATGTACAAGTACACGACCACTCATATTGTTAGCTTAAAAGCATCAATTGAATGGAAATTGTAAATGGATTGTTATATATTACAGCAAGAAGTAAAGTAGGTGACACATCTCTCAAATACAAACGAGAAGAGAATAGCTTCGTTTTAACGGACTGCATGCCAGTCGCATCGTGACGGAGCGCTTTAAAGCGCGACCGTCGCTACTAACACAGAATGTAACGTGAAAAGGAATCGAAATTATAGTCGTGGTTTTTGCAAGCGTTTCTCAATCAAAGCGTAAAAGCTCCTCGACACTTAACGTTTGTTTTGTAATTCCAATTTGTTCACGATTTCGAGCAAACCGTGAGTGTATCTTTTCAAGATGTAATTTTCTTGATTTAGATCACTTTTCTTTGTATATACAGGGTGTCCCGACCCTTTTTGCTAATCACTTTTGTGTAGATAGAGCGAACTAAACTGAGTCGAAAAGTTCTCTACCATTTTGCAATTTTCGCAATAGTTAACAAGATATCAATTACTAAAAATGGCAAAATAATAGTCTTGAATAATTTTTTACTCAAATACTATCAACTTTACAGAAAAACTGCAAGAGACAAAAATTATTTATTTTCTACTCATAAAGTTTTGAGAATTTTTTCAGAATTTTTTATCAACTTTTTAGTACTGCATTTTCTTATTTTTATCAATATGAGAAAATACGGTATTAAAAAATTCTGAAAAAATTTTCAGAACTTTACAAGAAGAAAATAAATAATTTTTATCTCTTGCAGTTTTTCTGTAAAGTTGATAGTATTTGAGTAAAAAATTATTCAAGACTAATATTTTGCAATTTTTTGTAATGAATATCTTGTTAACTATTGCGAAAATTGCACAATCGTAGTTACAATGTTTAAATATTGTATTGCATAGAAATGTGGATTTATGTATTTAAACACATAATATAGTGTCATTCTTACACAGAAAACTAAATAACACATATATTGAAGTCACTTTTTAAACGCTCGAATTTGCAGTGTAATCTGTAAAATCCATTCTATTACTGAAAAAAATATTCGTGTAAAATTTTGAACATTCCGTACAGATCTCAAGCAAAATGTGCTCAGTGCAACGGACGCATGTAGAGGATTGGGAGCTTCGCGGCGAGGACGCAGCAGCGTAATTAGAAAGATCGTGGTGGTACGCGTAACACTTAGCGGGCAGACGATGACCTTTAGCAGCGAGCACACGGCTGCACTCGCGGAAAAGTCGCATCGCGAAGTGGCGTGTGGTTGAGAGGCGTAATATCTGATCGTGAAGAATCCAAAGACAAATTGTCTGCAATCGCGCGAGATAAACGAATTGTGACAGAAAACTGGTTGATCTAGCGATGTCAATGCTTCACGTGGGACAATCGCATCGATACTTCATTTACCCTGTACTTGTATTATTATCACTTTCTACGACCGCGTACACAGCCTCTCCCAGAGGGAGAGGGAGGAGCACGTTGTTCATACATTTCCTCTCACTCGGCACGAGCGGGTCACGCGAACTCGTCTCTGCGCTTACCTAACGGCATAGAGTCATCTAGAATGTAATTACAATTAGAAATTCTCCTGTGTATTTTGAGAGATAATTCTATTAATTAGAATATCACCATGCGGAAATAATTCTTAAATTAATGTACATCGAAGGTTACATAATTAAATATAATAAATAATTTTGATGACAATTTCAGTAAATAATTTATCTTTCAAACTGACGTTCCACAATTAAGATTCTTTCACTTTTATATTATTAAAATTTTAATTTCAAATTCAATCGTCACATTTCATCAAGATAATGATTGTAACTTCCTCTTCACGTGTCAATATGTATTAAATTAAATAAATATCAACCTGAAAAAAAGAATAAACTTCATATCCATTTCATGCGACGCTGACGCAACGATTAAATGGCCGGTATGCATACTTTATTGAATATGTTATTGCTGAAAGCCATAAAGAACTGTCATTCCGGATCGATGAACTCGATTGTAACTTGGCACCGCAATGCCGACATATGTCGTAAAAACATGTTTACGATGTGGATTTCATTTCCATCCTGTTTGCATAAAAAATGTTTTAGTATTTCCTATGTCACGCAAACAACTCCGAAATATCTGGAGAACGGAACAATTGTTTTCCGAAACGGGAATGTCAAGGAAACACGATCGATTCGCTTGCTTCCCGCATCTTTTCGCGGTGCTAGATCGACGTTGTATATTTCGGTCACTTGTCAAAAATTCAACATTAATTTCCAATCGAGAAGCTTATTATACATTATACATTACGAAAACTGTTTCGAAGTTACGTATTTATTCTGTCTTATTTTAAGAGGTTTCAAAAATTCTTCGTAGAGAAGTAATTCGAGCAGGCGTACACAGATTCAGGTCGTTAAAGAATGTCAATAAATGAAGTCCAGAATACATCATCATGATTTAAAGTAAGCATTTAAAGTAAGTAAATTTCTCGTATTCGTTCAGACACTTTTTACTTTTAACAGAATTTCTACGAAGTAACAAAATTAAGATGCAAAATTATTTTTCGTTGAATTTTCCATTGCTCTCATTGTTGCGTTATCTTCAAATCTACTTGGAAGCTTTCTTCGCTTTGTTCTAACTCAAATTTACGTGACGATTAATCACTTTCTTCCGCGCTCCGCAGACATAGAATGTATTAGGTGTTAAACTTAATTCCTGCCGTTTTTCGTCTCCAAAATTGATTTGTTTCGAAGGGAAGATGAATGAATACCTTAATTCAAGTAATTTCCTTCATTTTCTACTTTATTACTAATTAATAATACTTTATTAATAATACTTTGATTAAGGTATTTCCCTTCGAAACAAATCAATTTTGGAGACGAAAAACGGTAGGAGTTAAGTTTAACACCTAATAAAAGGCCGAGCGCGTGCTATCCTAGTTGTAAAAAAAAAAAACATTTCTGCCCATATATGTATAAAATCAGTATTATTCGTCGTTCATTACCAATTACACGTTAAATGTGGTCCTACGTGCATCTCGTCTCTCTCGTCGTCACGGTACCCTGAGTCTTTATCGAAAGCAATCTTTGTGGCGTAACATGATTCGATCCCGCAAATTCCTCTCCTCTCTCTCTTATCCTTTGCCAACCGCACGATACACTGGATCGCGTGCTACGATCCAGAACCGCAAGATCGGCTATCGTGGGCCGCGGGCATCTCTGTCTCTTTCTTTCGCCGTCTCTCTTTCTCTTTCCGTTGTCAATAGTCAGGCTTGACTCATAGAAACGGGTTCCGCTCGCATTCCGGACATCCAGCCTGCCGTTCACGGCAGAAAGTGCATCGCCACATCGATATCTGTGCGCGTGATGAGCGAGATTCCGGTAAAATGCAGTTCACGGAGAACGCTCGTAATGTCCACCGAATTCGGTAAAAGGTTCTGCAGCGAATTTGCAGGGAAATGCAAAATAACGTAATACGTCAGATATTCGAATTTATATTTTTACCCCTTTCAGTTCCGTTTAAATTCCAATTTTTATATGCTGTTGCTTTAACGTCTTTAAATTTATCTATCTTTGACAAATATATACTTCTCGAAGAACAAACCAATGCTCAACTTAACTCAATTATTTTATTCTTATTAATAATAACTTATTCAATTTTCCAGTTACGCTTACTTGCCTTTTATTTTTGTTATCTGACTCTTTGATTAAGAAAATGTCTATCATTAGTCTTGTATAATTCAAAACTGTAGTGAATGTCATATTAATCGACGTGCACACTTGTTTAGTGAATTGATTATTTATTCGTCGTCGAAGAATTAATCGGCGGACACATCGAGATAATCGGTACAGACGTTGTTCGCGATTGTAAAGTGAAAACGACGTACGGATTCTAGCCGCGCGAATCGCTAGACTAATACACAGGGTGTATTTAAGTTCTCCGACTCTATGCATCGTGCGTTTATTTATGGCCGCGTAATTTGCATGGAAACAGAGAGAAACACGGTTTGAGGAAGTTGCTTATTAGTAGCAACTAGGATATTATCAGCACGATGCCATTGACATCATTACCGTCATTCCCAAGGTTTCACTCAGATAGTGAGAATCTTTAACCAGAATGGATGATGTTCGCTTATATCGCATCGCATTGATTATTTGCAAATTTATTATTTTATATTGTAAATTACAGGCGCTTTTCAACTTTCAACGACGAGTCAAGCCAAGCAGTTATTAATCTTATATCAAATTCTATCTTAAATCAATATTTTAGTAGAGATTTATTATACATTAGCAAAAATACGCGACTAAGCAAAAAAATGTGATCAATGCTACTGTTTGAAAAAATTTTGCTAAAATATCTGCAAATTTAGATAAATCTGAAAATAATTTTGAACGTTAAAAATAATTAAGTAATTATTAGTGTGATAACCTAACAAAATTATTTTCAGATATCTAAATTTTTAGATACTTCAGCAAAACTGTTCTTTCCGTGAAAGAGTTGAATCTCTCAGAAGCTAAACTAATTCTCAAAGGCTCAATTAAGAATTAATTTCATACATTAAAAAAAATATATACATATATATGTACAAAAATATATACTTTCTTTTAAAATATTAAATATTTTCTAGAAGGATAGGATTTTAATTATATTAATTAAATATAATTCCGTATTTTCTCTCTCCGCGTTCCATTTACAGATATTGTTTCAGTGCTCATGGCGGCGCGGTCAACGAAA